GAAATAAGCAAAACAAACACCTCCGTTACATCTGGTTAATTGTTTCATCTACAGCTATAAGTACCGCTACATCTACAGCTGTAAGCACCGATTGTAGCCTTCCACTGGAATCACTGGGCTTATGCCCGTCGCTGAGACTCTTTCTTTGGAAGGATTTAGTTTTTATGGAAGAATTACTACGGAAAGTAAGTAATGATGAATCTGCAAAGTTTTTTGCTCCCCTCTCCCCTAATTTTATTTAGTCTTTCGTAATATAGTTGCTAAGAAAAAAAAAGCAGAAAATTATATTATAATTGTAGAAACAGAAAAGAGTTATAAAAGAGTAAGACATTAGTTTTAGGATAAGTGCTAAATTCTTTTCTTTAATATCATCTATCCAAAATTACAAGAATTTCTTAAGTTGAATGTTGCTTAAAATTTTCAATAATTTATAACTCATCGGGTCTGTCTAATAAACCCTTCACTGCTCAAAGAATAAAAACGCAAAGCAATATAATCAACCTAATGAAACAATATATTATCATTTTATTTTATTTTTTTGCACCTAAAATTATATCTTCATACGTTTTTGTACATTTTTATTATTGAAATAGGCCCACTTCATTTGAAGAATTTGGAATCTTTCTACATAACTGGCACCTCCCTGGAAAACAACTTTCTTCAAACAATTGGAGCAATGCCTTCTATCGAGTCTTTAATATTAAGGGATTGTGGACTCAATGGTACCTTACCCAGCCGAGGTTGAGATCGATATTCCCTCTCTTGTTTTCTGCTTTGCTATTTTATTCTGTTTCTAAGTTACCTTACCTTTTTTTAAGTGCTTTTTCTGTCTTATTCATGTTGTCACTTTTGCATGCATTTGAAATTTAATTCCTATGTCCTGTTTGTGTTACACTTTTGCATTTGAACATTATCCAAATCAAAATATCACTTTTCTATTGTAACTACTTAAATGGTAAATGAAACCTACTAAACAAACACAAAACACCTTATCATATAATTCCTATATATATATATTATCCTCTTTCCTTTTGAACTTCATGGAATTATTTCATGTTTATTTGTTTATGTGTTTTCTCTCTTTTCTGTTCCTTTTCTTTAATTATCTAATAATTAATATAATAAAATGTTTACAGGATTTTGTGAATTGAAGCATCTTCGAGGGCTTGCTATCCAATACAATAATCTAAGAGGTAAGTTGCCCGAATGCATGTCCAACCTCTCGTGTCTTGAAAGATTAGATCTCTCTTCTAATCAATTTTCTGAAAATATATCTGTCCCTGAAAATCTAACATCCCTTAAAAGTTTAGATCTCTCTTCCAACCAATTTTGCTGGAAATATATTTTCCCTTAAGAGTCTTAACATCCCCCTGAATGTTGACACTTTCAAATAATTACTTTCAAATCCCAAGCTCACTAGGACCCTTCTTCACCCTTTCAAAACTCAAGTACATCTATTCAGACAATAATTCCATATATGCTGAAACAGAGATGCATCGTTTGGAGCCAAGATTCCAACTGAATGAGATCAGGTTATCTTGTTCTGGAGATGGAGGATCATTTCCTCAATTCCTCTATCATCAACATGACTTGCAGTCTGTTGATCTCTCTAACATCTATTTCAAGGTAGATCAGTTCCCAAGTTGGTTGTTGGGAAACAACAACAAATTAGATACGTTAATTCTCATCAACAACTCTCTATCGGGACCTTTTCGGCTACCATTCGCTTTACATTTGTATTGATCCGTTTTAGATGTCTCCAACAATTTCTTCAATGACAGCATCCCAACAGAAATTGGAGCAAAATTACCATCGTTAATGTTTCTGAACATGTCAAAGAATTATTTTAACGGTAGCATTCCCTCATCTTTTGGTGATATGAGCTCATTGGAATCTTTGGACTTATCCAACAATCAATTGTCTGGTGGGATAACTGAACACTTGGCCATGGGTTGCTCCTCGTTAGGACTCCTTGCATTATCAAATAACACGTTGCAGGGTCAACTTTTCTCTGGAGGTTTTAACTTAACAAACTTGAGCGAGTGGCAATTGGATGGAAATAACTTTTCTGGAAAGATCCCAAATGTCTTGTCCAACTGCTCTGCCTTGCACACACTTGATCTAAGCAATAACCATATCTTTGGTAGGATACCTAGTTGGACGGGGAATATGTCTAGTTTGTCAACGTTGGATCTTAGTAAAAACCATCTCTTTGGTAGGATACCACGGTGGATGGGAAGTACTTCAAATTTGGAACAAATTGCCACGGGATATAATCATCTTTAAGGTCCAATCCGAGAGGAGCTCAATCATGTACTTCAATTTTTGGACCTTTCGGTGAACTACATATCCGGGAGCCTACCATCTTGCTTGAAACCTTTATTGGTAAGCGAAGTCCATTTATCCAAAAATAGGCTACAAGGCCACTTCCCGATGCTTTTCGTGACAGCGGCTTTTTGGTGACTTTAGATATCAGGTATAACCACTTGACTGGTAACATTCCAAATTGGATTAGCAAGCTGTCTGCTTTGAGTTATCTTCTCTTGAAGAGAAACCTCTTCGAAGGTGAGATTCCAATTCAGTTATGGAAGTTGGCTCAATTAAGCTTGATTGATCTTTCTCATGATAATCTGTCCGGTGGTATTCCCCCTTGTATAAAAGTTACTGCCTTGAACTATTTATCCAACGAATATGTTCATTCTCCTTTTACAACTTCTAACGGCACAAAGCCCTTGATTGAAGAACCAATAGAATACACAATAAGGAGCATATCCTACTCTTACAAAGGCAGAAACCTTGCATGCATGTCCGGAATTGATCTCTCCTGCAACAAGTTAACTGGTGAGATTCCTCATGAAACGGAGAACTTTAGTATGGTCTTTGCATTGAACCTTTCTCACAACACTTTGACAGGACCAATCCCACAACCGCTCTGTTACCTCGTGCAAATAGAAACTCTAGATCTTTCTTACAACAACTTGAGTGGGAATATCCCTCCTGAAATTGTGAAGTTACATTTCTTGACATTTTTTAATGTGTTATACAACAACTTATCTGGAAAGACACCTGAAAGGATTGCACAATTTGGAACATTTGATGAAAACAGCTATCGGGGAAATCCATTTCTTTGTGGCCCACCATTGCAAAAGAGCTGCTCAACAATTGAACCATCATCCACGCCAAAGGCTTCAATTCGCAACAGAGTTGACGATGGTCCAATTGACATGGATGTTTTTTATGTGAGTTTGGCATTACTTCTTGCTACTATTTTGTGGTAGACAATCTCCCAGAGAATTTTGCATTGTGGAAATATGTAGCCAATCAATTTTCCATTTGCACCTAAAACTTTCAGGTTTTTACCTTTCCTGTTCAGAATTTGAATGAACAGCCTCTTGCTTTCAATCTATGCAGAAATTCAATTGAATTTTACAGCAACAACGCAATAAAATTGGGTTGTGCAATTGACATTATAACTTCCAGTACACTTGTCTTTGTTCTAGATTGTTTTGCTAAGTGATTTCCAAGCTAAAACAGAAAATCTCAAACAAGAGAAAAAAAGCAAACCCGAATTAGGAGTCTTTGCTTATGATTTGGAAAAAGTCAATGATCATAGCATCCAATTATAGATTATAGGTTCACAAAAACGTACAAACCATGCGTATTGCAACAATTTATTTTCATTTTGCAATTTTACACATTGGTTTCTTGATCAAGTAGCTTGTCTGGTGTTCATGTCAGTATTAGACATTGTCAGCATGACAAAGTCCCATGAAATTCTACAACAATATGTCTTTTGACCAATTAATCATTTTGCAAGAAGCAAGCTTGGATCATTCCTAGAACAATATGAGTGGCAAAATTCACTCCTCAACAAAACAATGGCAGTATTGATCATGACCTTTGTAAATCTGTTCCTAGTATTTGTTGTGCATGTTACTAATTTGTGTTACTAACCATTTACCTTTGCTTAATGAAACGTTCATTGTCAACCTCTTTTGGGTAGGAATTGTGAATCTTTTGTAGATCCACCATTACTAATTTGAATTGCTCACATCCTGAGTAGAACTATATCAGCTCTGGACATGGATGTTTCTTCTGTACAGTTCACAGTGTCTTCTCTATTAGTTTTGTTAGGAATGCAATCCAGAATTTGGAGGCATTGAAATGAAGGTGTCAACATTATTGAGGGTAGTGCAGGTTATCTTCCACAAAGAATCTCTCTTTACTTTCTATGTTTTTCTTTTTTCTCCATCGTCTTAAAGGATAGGAAAAAGAAAATATCTGTTGTCAAACTTCAACCTTATGCTTCAACTTGTTGTTCAGATTGAAAGATGCTTGTGATAATGTGTGGCTAAAAGAAGAACAATGTGTCAACTGAAGTTCACTAATGTAGCATCTTTCTGCCATGGTTGGCAGCTTTGCAAGAGTCAAGAGATAAATTCAATGTGAGGTAAAATAATTTATCAAGTAAAGTCCCAAGTGCAAAGTATAAGTTAGAGTCCTTGGACAATATAATCTACCAACTTTGTTATGTGCATATTACTAACTATTTCCTTTGTGAATGAATCTTCATTGCGAACTTGCCTACATACAAGGACTTCACTGTGACAGATTTAAGGTTACTCAATTCAAATTCATCTGATGGTAGGAGAAAGTTAGTGGCATCAAAGACATGGTTGTTTTCTATGCATACTTTGTACTGTTTTCTAAAATGGTGTTCTTCGGAGTGCTAATCAGAAAATGGATTGGATTCCAAATGAGGGAGCCAATCTTTAATCCTACAATCACACTCTGTTCATAAAGTGCCTCTATTACTACGTTCTTTTTCTCCTTACTTAAATGAGAGGAAGAATTGCAATTGTCCATCGTCGCCGACTTATTTGTTAGAAATTAGACAGAAGTTCTCTAACTAGCAGCTTTCTGCTATAGGTGGGTCAGTTTGCAACATCGTAGCAATAATCTTTGAACTACTAATCTATCCTAGATTTCTACACCACTTGTATCCAAAATTGCCTTGGATCCAAAGGTATCAACATGTTTCCCTCAGCAAATTCCAATATAACATTGAAGCATTCACATACAATCTACCATGGGATAACAAACTACAGCCATGAACCTGCGAGCATATAATTAACGCATTCATTTTCTCAAACTCACCCGATTCAAATGCTGAGCAATGGCATCCCGGATCCTCTGCCCTCTCTCATCCACATCTTCTTCGGAGACAGGCCTCAGCTCCTCTTCGTCCTCCCTTGAGTTCTCCACATTTTCTTCTGGCAATGGCTCGCTACACTTGATTAAAAAATTATGCAACAAACACCCCATCACAATCGCAAACGGCAAATATTCAACACATCTCTCTTTCCACCTCTTAGAAAGCAGCTGCCACCTAGCTCTAACTCTCCCAAACGCCATCTCAACCAGCCCCATTGCTCGACTGTGCACCGCATTGAACTCTCTCTCCGGTGAACCCAAACTATCTCCCTCCTCATTGGTCCTCAAATAAGGGGTTATAAGCCATGGCAAGAGAGGGAAACAAGAATCGCCCAATATGTATTGAGGAACAAAATTTTCATCACTAAGCTTAGAACAAGGCCCGTTTAATAACTCTCTTGATTCCTCTACTCGCGAGAAAAGCTTCGTTTGATGCAAAATTGATTCAGGTTTTATTGAACAAGGCCAACCAGCTGAGATATCCAAAAATCTACCTTCAGAGTCCACCAATGCCTGAACAAAAAGCGACCCATTTGAACCCATAAGCTGCCCATCAACCTCGAAACGCCCAAAACCCAAAACGCCGCAACAATTGGGAAGTGAAATCCACCCAAAACCCACCACAATACGGCTGATATCAGCTTGAAAATCGAGGGAATTGCCTAATTTATCGTTGACCAGCTTGCAAATGGTGTAGAAAGCACGGCAGGCGTCGGCGGAGGACGAAAAACCGAAGCGGCGGGCGAGGAATTTGTAAGAGGCGCCGTGGGCGAGGCGGAAGAGAGCGACGGCGAGGGAGGAGTCGGGAGGAAAAGGGGGAGGAAAGGAAGGGGAAAGGGTTGAAAGGAGCTGAGAGAAGGTGGGTTTAGACATCCGGAAAAAGCGAGGCCAGAGGGGGTCGGAGATGGAAGAGGGAAGAGAGAGGAAGCGGTTGAACCAAGGGGAAGGAGAGGGAGGAAATGGAGGAGGACGAGGAGAAGGGAGGAGAGAGGAAAGGGATGAGAGGAGCGATTCAAGGGAGAGGCATTGGGATGGGAGGAGAAAGAGATCGTGACGGAGAAGGAAGAAATGGGCGGCGGAGGTAGCGGAGGAGAGGAGGGAGACGATTTGTGGGGTTAATAGGTGATCTTGGCTTTTGCATATTTTGACTTTGCATTTGGTGGCAGTGGTTGCGATTTTTGGCGTGGCTTTGCCGCGGCGGCCGCCGGCAGCCATGGCTGCGGAAGTGCAGTCACTGAAAGATGGTGACTCTTTCGACCCTACATGTACAGGTAAAGTTTTGAAAGATGGTGACGGCACTGAAAAGTTAAGCCAGTTGAGTATCAAAAACAACGCTAAGTTTTGCTCGAGTCAAGCGAGTCTTTTGGTCTACTCTCTCTCTGCGTTTCTTTTATTGATTAATTGTATTCAATTTAATAGAACAGTGAGGGATTGGTTTTAGCGTTTTTTAATTTATTGGAATTCTGGGTTTAGCAAATTTATTGTCATATGAGAAGAGGTTTCGATATTTACGCTGAGTTTCATTTTTTTTAATATATTTATGCCAAAAGGAATATTCATGGGTTATTTCTCCTTATGTTTTCTTGGCTTTTATATTGTAATTCAATTGAGCCTGTTTAGGATTTGTACATAAAAATATGCAGTTTTTTTTAACTGTTTTTTTTTATATTTGACGGAATAGGTAAATTAAAGTGTTGTAATATAGTCTGAAGTCTATGATTGAATTATAGTAAAATACTAGTATGTTCCCATGAATTGTTAGTAGTCCTTTACTTTTTACCTTAACTTTAGATGATATCGCGTCTAATTGGAGAACCTATTGCCTTAACTGCACAAATGTCAGTGTTGATATTTGAAGAGGGGGAATAGCTGTTGTTGATCATTTCTTGTCAGCAAAGCTGATAATAAGGTTATACAGTAAAATATTTTTATGTGAGTTTGAGAACTTGTTACTTAAGTGCTTTATTTCTTTCTTGTAGGAGACCTTCTCTCTTTGTGATCCCAGGGTCCTTGAACTGAGACATTCTTTCTAAGAATTAAGAAGGTTCATTTTCAGAATAACTTTTAAGCCATGCTGTGGTTCAGTTTATATATTTTGGAAATAACTAAAAGTTGCTGTCAGGTAATCCTTTCAAAATTTAAAAATGCATTTGGTATTGAATAATTGCATGCTTGGTCATTTGGCTTTAAAGTGAAGGAACTATTTTCTCCCTACTTAAAATTTTCTTTGGATTTGACTCTATATTTCAAGAATGTTTTCTTCATATGCTACACATTTCTTTGTGAATGAATTGGGGTGCCTTGACTGCCTGACGACTAGGTGCTGTCTATGAGAGTGATTTCCTTCATTCTGGGCTTACTGAACTGATGTTATTCTTGTTATGGTTATTGGTGTTTGGAGCTCCTATGAGCTGGCTGCAATTTGTTTTGATGAAAGCTTTTTGTGATTCGTAGTGTGACCTGGGCTTGTGATTGTTGGAAATATTAATATGATATGACAACTATAATTTTGGTGAATGCTTGTGGGCTGGAAGTTTGGGTTCAAAGTTAAAGAGTTTTCCAATCATAGCTTCATGGTCATGAAAGTAAAATGAAAACATGGACTCTTTGTTGAGCAAACTGTTCCAAACTGCTGTAATGGGTTTTCATAGTTATTTTTCTCTTTATCATATAGACTCCATTGTTGCATCTGCAATCTGGATCATTTAAGCTTGATTGATCTTTATCACAATAATCTTTCTGGTATTATTCCCAAAAGCATATCTACTGTTACAAGGGAAAGACCCTTACATTTCTGTCTGGAATATCTCTCTCTTACAGCAAGTTGATTGATGAGATTTCCCACAAACTCATAAACTTCCTATAAATCCTTGTTTTGAGCCTAGCTCTCAACACAAAAACTAGAAAAGAAATTGAAGGTGTATTTTGATAGTTAATTGTCAATTACGTAAAACTAACTAATTTTAAAAATGCTTACCATGTACATGTAAGGCAAAACCAGTTGGAATTCATTTTAAGAAATTCATGAAATTCTCAATTAAAAATGATTAATTAAAAACAATTAAAAATAAAAACCAATAAATTAATAAAACTTATATAATGTATCATACATATAACAAACAAAGAATATTAATAATAAGTTTTAATGTGTTTTAATGAATTCCTTAATGAAAATTATAATAAAATTTTCAATTGTCCATAGTTATATCAGTAAGATTTCCCATACAAGTTTGTGAGGAGTTTCTTTGGTTGAGTTTCTTTAGTAGAGTTCTTTAAAAGGATAACCTCATTACTGATATAATTTTGATTTTATTGTTAATAAACGCAACCTCAATAAAAAAGAACTCTACAAAGAAAGTCCTCACAAACTGACTGATTTTCCATGAAATTAGATGGCATCAATTTATTGACTTTAATTCCAATTATAATTTTTATTTAAAATTTTTAATTGAAAACTTCACAAACTTTACCTAATGCTTTCATTGAGTATGTTTGGTATGAGGGAAAGAGGAATGAAGGAAGAGAGTGAATGAAAAATACATTTTTTTTCATTCTTTCTTTTGTTTAATGAGAGAAAAATAAAAGAGAAGAAAATAAATAAATTTGCACATTTCTCTTCTCTTTAACTCTAATCCTTTCAAAAGTTAGAGAAAACAACTCTTTCTTTTGAATACAATATTTTATTTATAATTTTACTTAACCTCTTTCTTTTACTTTACTTTCCATTCTCCATACCAAACATAAGAAAAGAAAAAAAAATTTCTTTCTCTTCTTTTATTTTTTCCTTCACCCTTTTCTTTTCTCCATTTTTCTTCAAATATAGTACTTGTTTGGTTTAATTTTTTTTCAACTTATCTATTTCTTAAAAATAGAAACCGAATTCAGGAAAAGTTATAAAGAGAAGAGAATTTTTATTTTTTTTTTAAATATCCTCATCTATAAAAAATAATCACAATATTATTTTTTAAAAAAAATACTCTTTATGATAATTTTAACTAAAATTAAAACTTATAAAAATAAATTCTTGAAAAAAGAGAGACTTGAATCTACTTTTTAAACAAAAAAATTATACATTAATTAATGAATCAAATATTTAAATATATTTTAAAATTTATTATTTTTTATAAAAAATTTATAATAACTTTTAACTTAAAAAAATCAAACTAAACAGACTCATAATCTAAATCCCTAAATGTGGCACTATCATGCATTCATATACATCCAAACTTATATATGGGGTTAGAATGGAATATGGATGCCAATTTTGTCAAGGTCTGTGCTCAAATTTTTCTTGGTCAAAAAGGAGTCCTCCTTTTGTTTTCCTAGACCACATTAACGATGCAAGCTAATAATACAAGTTTAAGGTCCCCACACGCATTCGCACCGGGGAAAAGAAGTCAGGTTAGCATTTTCTTGACATCGGTGGTTTTTCCGGAATTTTTTTTAATTTTAATTTTCTATTAAAAAATTGGTTTGATAACGGAAGGAAAAACATTCCAATAAATATTTTTGTCATTTCTAAATCCATTTAGTTACTATATATATATAAAAGAGGGTTTAAGTTACATAGGAAACAGATGTATTTAAATATGTCACAACAAAAATATTCACCCATTGTTAATGAAATATGATAGTTCCATCTTTATAATTTACTTCTACTTAGATCAATTTTTGAATTTTAACCAAAATTATAAATAATTTAAAAAATTAGTATTTGGGCTCAGAGTAAGGGGAATATAAAAATATAAAGGCACATATACCAGTTCACCAACTAACAATCACATAGATCTCGAACTTTTTTTAAAAAATTAATAAAGGATAGCCATTGAAATCTAAAAAGAATTAATGGTCCGTTTAGCAATCAGAAAATGACTTGTTGGAGGAAATTTTTTTTTATGAAAAATATCTTATTGGAACATTTGATGTTTTCTATTGTTTGGATAAACTGTTGATAACAATATTTGTTATTTTGGATCATTTTATAAAAAATATTTTCCATCATAGTGAACTTATTTAGGTATTAAAATAATAAATAGGAATTGATTACAAAATAATATTGATATTTGATTTTCACTAATTTTAGATTAAAAATAAAAATAGACAAAATCAATAATGTTATTTTTCAAAGCATTTAACCATATATTTATAATGAAAATAAACTCTGATTTTAAAAAAAAATTTCTTCTTATCACTTTTTTTATCATAACTATAAAAATATAAATATTCATCAATTGTATAACATATCTAAAACCTAACTTATAAATATATATTCATTAAATGACGATCATTGAAATTTTTTTATTATAATTATTAGTAAGATTTTTTTCATTTATAAATAAAAAATTTAATTGTATTGAATGGTTTTATTAAAAAAATATATTTTTTAATTTTAATAGTATTGTATAATTTAAATATTAATATTTTATTTTTATTTTTTTAATATTTTAAATTAAATATTAATATTGATCAAACTTATACTTAAAAACTTAGTATAAAAGTGTTTTTATTGTTCTTTAAAAAATATCTTACACTCTTCAAAGATGTAAGATATTTTTCATGATTAATCTTATTGACTCGTAAAATATTTTACATTTGAAATTAATTTTCTGTCTTCCAATCAAGCTTAAGTTTTGAAAATGTTTTCCAAAAAATATTTTACTACAAAACAAACAGACCCTAAATACATACCAACCCCTAAAAAAAATGAGAAAAAAATTAATGAGAGTCGATTTCATGATTGACACCTAAGTCAAGGTCTCCACAATATTGCAATCTATTACACAAAAGTCTAGACATCAATTAATCATGAAAATAACATATATTTATATTCCACACTTTCCTCCAAAAACTTGATACTCCATATGAAAGCTACAATGGAGCTTAATTTCTCCCTTAATTAATGATATGGAACTTGACAAGTGGGCAAGTGGAATGAAATTTATCCAAACTCCAATTTTGAGGGCAAACAACTCATTAGGTGTTAATTTTCAAATCAATCCCTTTTTTTTTTCAAAATATCATATATTTTTATATTTTTAATATAATATTTTTCAAAAAATTTTATTATTTTTCTTATCTAAATACATTTTTTGCTTTTTAAAAACAAAAATGTAATTAGCAAATGTACCAACTAAACCACCTTTCTCGGCCTTTTGGCTAAGATCAAGTGTAGTATCTGTTCTTATCAGTTTAATATCTGATACGTGGGCCATCGGTCCACATGATATTAAATTAATTTTTTAAGGGGAGAGCCCACTGCGGTAGCTTGCTACTGGGGTTCTCGAGCGTCGCCTAAGCGTTGCACTACAGCTAAGGCTGGGCGCACCCCACCAAAAAAAAAATAAAAAAATGTACCAACTAAACCGAACTTTAGTTTTCTTTATATATACATGACAGCGCTGATTTCGCAGTTGACGCCTAAGTCAAGGTCTCTTGAATAAATCATCCTCTTAGACAAAAGTCTAGGCATCAATTGATGATGACAATAACATATATCTATGAAAGTGGTTTTGATTATCAATGAAAGCTCATGAATGTTTTAAAAGAAACATATATTTATATTTCTCACCTTCGTCTAAAATATTTTACTCAATAGGAAAGCTCCAATCGGGCCTAATTTCTCCCTTATTTAGTTGTGGAGTATTGGAATGGAATTTGAAAATAACCCTAGCATGGCTGCTAAATAAAAAATAACAATAATAAAAATACTCATCCATATTTTGTGAAAAATGCGGTGGTTAAAAACAAAACAAGCTTTGATTAGGAAAAGGAAAAGAGTGGGCGTTTTTGTTGGTATGGTTGTTATTAACATTCAATTTAAAATTAAATATTCTTCAAAAAATTTAAAATTAAATAAAATAAGAATTATTATATTTATGTGCAAGATATATGTGA